AAATATATATGATTTTGAATTCATAAAGACCTAGATCTTTAAATTCATCTAATGGATGGTTCAAATTCATTGTTGGAAGGGACTCATTTTGACCATAGGGTGTAAATTAGTTTTTTTTAGATTGATTATTGAGATGAAGAGAGTGTGTGCGCAAAGTTTTGGGTCATACAAATACAAACATGACTTTCTAGAATTGTATCGCATCATCTATGATACAGTTGTTGCATGAAATCATTGCCCATAAAAAAAAAAGGGCAATATTTCAAATTTAAGAAAAGAAATTGTATACAATTAAATCATTTACCTTTGATACTAGGTGGTCACAATTATTCACAACCATCCGATATGAAATTTGATAGCTTGGATGTATCATGAAGTTCGAGAAATTTTCTTTTGAAGTTTAAACTTGGTCAAGATTAACGTGACCAAGCTTGGTCAAAATTTTCGCTTATAGGCATTGCTGACACTGTAGCGAATTTCATCTTGTATCAAAGGTAAATGATATAATCGTATACAATCTCTTTTCTTAAATTACTTCTCTTAAATTTGAAATTACAGACTTGTGGACTGTCATTTTCGTCTATAGGCATTGCGTAGGAAATACTTTAACCCATAGTCAAAATGAATAGTGATTTCGCTTACTCTCATCACAATCCAAACTTCATCGCCCGGTCACAGTTGTCTGATAGTATTTTATTTTTCAGTTTTTTTTCTACAAATCCAAATTGTGTGAAATTTGGAACGTGTGTAGATATTAGTGAGGCACACCTAATAAAAATGTGAAAACTATATTTCGCAAAATATAAATTGATCAAAATACCCCTATAAATTTTCAGGGGTATTTTAATCAATTTATTTCTTGTAAATTATTTTTTCATATTTTTATTATGTGCGCGTCACTAATATGTACATACATTCCAAATTTCAAATCATTCGGATTAATAAAAAGATATTAAAATTTAAACACTATCGGACAATCATGACATTACGATGCACTTTGGATGGTGATAAGGCTAGGAAAAATCAATGTTTATTTTCGCCTATAGTCATTTTGTAGTATCTTCTATATATATATATATATATATATATATATATATATAGAAGTACTACTACACTA